AATCTACTTCATCTAGTCTATTTGTTTCTACCATTCTACTTACATCTACCTAAATCTATCTACTTATATGTATCAAACCATTTTTTTTCCTACTCGTATCTACCTCAATTCACCTTAAATACCCGAGTTTATCTTCATTTACCTGTGTCTTTATCTACCTGGGTATCTAATCTCACCTGAGTATACTATGCTTGATTGGTTGCACAGTATGTATGTCTGTATGTATGTATGTATGTATGTTTTAATTAATCACGTCACGTATACCCCTGACTACCAGTCGTATGTGCGTGCGTGTTATCATTGGCTTTCTTGCGAATCATATTTCTCATTGCTTATTATTTTTTAGTATTTTATTTTTTTTATATCTATCCATCTGTTTATCTATTTATGTCTATTTTTAAATATATATCCATCTATCCGCTATAGATAGATATAGATAGATAGATGTTCATGTATACGAAGGTTAGGTTAGGAATTGATGGTGAAATATTTGATAATTTATTGCAGTGGTGTGTTTTCCCCTATAGCGAGTCTCTACACAGTATATAATAACTTTAATAACCAATAAGTGAGGAACTGGTTAGACTGGCCATTAGACCTTAAAAGGGGAACAAGATATCACCAAAACTAAGCAGTCGTATTTGGCACACTGTTATTATGACCATTATTATTTACTTCAGATCATCCAAACAAGATAACACCAATATGGTCTTTCGTGTTAGCTGGAAAGATTATACCTAACTGACCTGCCGTGTGCCTGTTGTGTCTTATAATCCTCTTCGTGACCTCACATGACTGCAACATTTGTCAGGCTTTGTGTGTGTGTGTGTGTGTGTGTGTGGTGGACAGGCGAGGCCAAATTCACGCCCACAGCTCACCAAGGCTTAAGTTAATCTCGATGGTTCAGCTGTATGTCCTTTTCTCATATAAATATTATTTTTTCATGGGTTATTTTTATATCTATGATGATTGAGTTGGTTTGGAGTTAACACAAGATGTTTTCCTGTGTCTTCTTGCTCCTTGGTATGGCGGGTAAGTCATAAACAATAGTTATACGTTAAATTGGATTTCATCAAGCATGCATTCAGAGAAAACGCTATTACCAGTGTTTTAATGGAGAACTATTAAATATGTATCTATGACACGTAGGTTTATATATACAAATTATTCAGTAAAATCGTCATACAAGATTACATTTATTCAGCATGTACATAGAGTGTATATGCTGAATATGCAACGAATAATTATGGCTACACTATTTATCTAAAGCAATATACACTCAATATACAGTATACATTGTCTTTAAGCATATAATATTGTAAAACATTTATTAATTCGTTCGTTGTATTAGGAGTAAATTCGGGTAAATAATATCAAGACTTAATTACATTTTACAGCCCACTAACAAAAATTTATTGACTTAATGAGTGTGTTGTCCAAGAGTGTGGTGACTATTCTTTCTCCCATTCGTGTTATGGTGTTTGCTGGAGCGTATTTGCTTGTTGACAACTGAAAACTCAAATAAAATAGCCTCGCTGAACTTTACATTTAATCTCCAAATTACAAAGGAAATAACATGCTTTGATATTTAACACATAAAATAGACTTAGTTTTTTAAGTTTGACATTGAAGTATATTGGGGACAGACACAGAGAGATTTCCTATTATTTATTACACTCCGGATTTAGTTTATATGTTATGAACTGTATATTGATATGTGATTAAACTAAGCGCTTTAATTCACTGATTACTTTCCTTCGATTTTTACCTGTCACCAAAATGAGATATTAATTATAGTGTCACCCTAATGAGTTATTAACCCACATTTTGTCACCCTAACGAGATTCTCACCCTTGTGTCACCCTAATGAGATTAACTCACCCTTATGTCAACCAAAATGAGGTATAAAGTCACCCGTATCACCCAAACGAGATATTAACTCATCCAGTGTCATCCAAATGCGAAATTAACCCACCTTGAGTCACCCGATTAAGTCACCCAGAGTCACCCCCCAAAAATAAACACCACACTCAGTTCCTTGGTCTTGTTCAACACGTCTGTACATCACGTCACCAGCAAGGAGTCATGAAGTATCTCTAATGAGTATTGCCTCGTCCTTGGAACACTGGGGAATGAGTCATAGGTGTAGCATGTCCCTGTGAATCAATACCTGGCCAGGAATGTGTGTGCCCCCCCCTCCCCTCCCCTCCCGCCAGCACACTTCCTCTTACCAAAATATGAGAGTATTGTCGTTGCAACATATACGCACCTAAACGTCACAACCACTAAACTGTAAATACTTAAGTAACTTGTCCTTTCACTAAGATATATATACTGTATATACTCAGTTACATTATATATGGTACACAATTTGATAGTTACCCTTACACAACTTGTCTGTAATAATTTAAGATATAGCTATTTAAAGTTTTCTACTAACAGTAATATGTTGGAAGTGAATACCATTACCGATAATTGATGTAGGTATAACAACGAAGGTATAACAGGGACAACTATATCGGTAATTATTGTAGGTGTGCAGGGACTCTCTCTCTCTCTCTCTCTCTCTCTCTCTCTCTCTCTCTCAGAATAATTTAGTACAATAATTATTACGTCATTAACCCACGTATACACCTAACTCTCAACAGTTTTATAGAGACAGCTCAGGACATATTAAATATTGGGTAATATAATGTACATATAAATTCTCCTGACTGATGCAGAAGCTGTATAACAACTCGGCCTCAGAGTAACAGGTGCAGTAATAACACACACCTGTTCAAGCAACACCTTAAACCACAGGCAATTTGTGGTTGTATTTTGTTGATATTTTTGTTTCATAATTTATATCTTTAAAGTTTCTAAACGTATATACATTTTTTTTACATTTACAATAATTACAACTATTATTTTGGTGAGAAACAGGGTGAGGGAGACAGTACAGTAGGCAGGGTGAGGGAGACAGTACAGTAGGGAGGGTGAGGGAGACAGTACAGTAGGCAGGGTGAGGGAGACAGTACAGTAGGGAGGGTGAGGGAGACAGTACAGTAGGCAGGGTGAGGAGACAGTACAGTAGGCAGGTGAGGGGAGACAGTACAGTAGGGCAGGGTGAGGGGAGGGAAGGGCAGGCAGGGGTGAGGGAGACAGGCTGGGTAGGGGAGGGGTGAGGGAGACAGTACAGTAGGGAGGGTGGAGGGAGACAGCATGAAAGAGGGCAGGGGTGAGGGGAGACAGTGCACAGTAGGGGCAGGGTGAGGGAGACAGGCACAGTAGGGAGGAAGGAGGGAGACAGCACAGTAGGCAGGGTGAGGGAGACAGTACAGTAGGGAGGGGTGAGGGAGACAGTACAGTAGGCAGGGCAGAGGGAGACAGCACAGGCAGGGTGAGGGAGACAGCACAGGGCAGGGTGAGGGAGACAGTACAGTAGGCAGGGTGGAGGAGACAGTACAGCAGGCAGGGGTGAGGGAGACAGTACAGTAGGCAGGGGTGAGAGGGAGACAGCACAGTAGGGCAGGGTGGAGGGAGACAGCACAGTAGGCAGGGTGAGGGAGACAGCACAGTAGGCAGGGTGAGGGAGACAGCACAGCAGGCAGTGTGAGGGGAGACAAAAGAAGTTGGCAGGGCAGGAGGGAGAGAGACAGTAGGCAGGGTGAGGGAGACAGGCAGGGCAGGGGTGAGGGGAGACAGGCATGGAGGGCAGGGCAGAGGGAGACAGTACAGTAGGGCAGGGTGAGGGAGACAGGACAGGTGGGCAGGGTGAGGGAGACAGTGAGCAGTAGGTGGTGAGGGAGACAGCAGTAGGCAGGGGTGAGGGAGACAGTACAGCAGGCAGAGGAGGGAGACAGCACAGTAGGCAGGTGAGGGGAGACAGTACAGTAGGCAGGGGTGAGGGAGACAGCACAGTTGGTGAGGGTGAGGGGAGAGAGACAGTAGGCAGGGTGAGGGAGACAGTACAGTAGGCAGGGTGAGGGAGACAGTACAGTAGGGAGGGTGAGGGAGACAGTACAGTAGGCAGGGTGAGGGAGACAGTACAGTAGGCAGGGTGAGGGAGACAGTACAGTAGGGAGGGTGAGGGAGACAGTACAGTTGGCAGGGTGAGTGAGGCTACCTGGGCTCGGGAAGTAGGGTAGGTTAGGTCATGTTACATTACGCGATATTATGTTAGATTAGGTTAGGCTACGTTAGATTGTGTTAATTTAGGTATTATTAAGGTAGGTTAAAATTAAGGTAGGTAAACTTAGGTTGAAATAAGTTAGAGAGGCTAATCTTCAGGTGATACGTTATATTTTGCACTGATATAAACAAAATTGCTCTTCTGGTTATCCCAAGACTAATGTAGTGTGTGTGTTAAAATGTTATAAAAATATCACACGACTGTCGCGAACAACGAGGAGAACCCGTACAGATCATAGGCCTTCCTCACCTATGCATGACCACCCACAGTATTAAATTTAGGTAAAATCATGAAAATATATTAACGAGATAAACTTCAATACCTGTCGACACTCCTATAACGCGTGTGATCTGTTTTCTTAATTAATATCATGTCCAGGTAGTTGAGGTGTGATAATATTTATTGTTATTAATACATAACACCTGGGGATATTTTTTTGTATTTGATTTTCATTGATATTTTTATTATAATTTCCCCAACTTTACATTCTCCGTTCACATCAGTTTGGTTATAATCTAGTCTGTTGGTTGAGAGAGTGCCAGTGACACTCCTTAACGTGGCACTCGGCGGCCATTACTTGATAAACGACTCTGATTCTTATACCCAACATAATTATATAACTTTTCTAACCTCTCCTATAGCTCAAGGTGTAAATGTATACCTCTTTAGTTCACACGCAGGAGATACTTCTACTTAGTGTTACGTACAAAGTATTTCTTGGGTACTGTGATTATGTGAAATAATTGTCAATAAGCGCGACTCGCGACATTTCATTCCTAATATCTGAGAAAAAAAACCCAATACGGATCTTTCTGTAGTTACTTACCTTATATCATGATGACCTCAACATAGCGCTCGAAGATGTTATCAACAAAATATATTGCTGATTAGAACATCACAGTAAGCGTTACACAAGGGTACAGTGCCACCTGCTATAGTCTGATCTGTTGTGATGGTCCAGTACATCGACCATCACACCGCGCGCTTCCCCGGGCAACCACTGTCAACATTCCGACTCCCACAGTTCTCAACTACTATATATTATCTAGATTTTTGTGACAAATTAATTAACGAAATATAATCTCATATACTCATAGGTAAAATATACATTTATCTTCTTATTGTTGTTTATTTAAATGAAAAATGTAAAATAATTAACAAAATAAAATTATACTTACTGTTGACGCATGACAGGTAACCTAGTAATCCCTTGCGTGACGTGACTGGTCAAAGTATCGATATAAAACAGTTGCCGTTATATTTGCGTCATACACACCTTGAGTAAATTTAACAGTTTGTATATCACACTGTATAAAATATGTGTTTTGACCTGATGAAATTAATCTTACGTTCCATAGTAAACTTTACCGACAAAGTCCATCCTAAGAAAATATTGTCATGTGATTATGGTCATGCGCAGCGAGGTATACAGAATGCTGAGTGAGGCAAGTTGTATCAAAGATTCTAATACTGTACTATAGTATTAAGGCCTTGGTCAAACCCTTAAGGTGCTTCGATTCCTGAATCCATTGGTTCGCTTTACCGAACTTATGTATCTATTTACCGACTGGATGGCAGAAAGAACATAACATCATAAACGATTGGCCGTCATCTGTCGTCTCATTTATTATCTAAAATTACATCTAGCCATCGGTACCTAAATTAAATTGATAATTATTAACAAAAAATATTCATGAGATTCGAAGCTTCTGTCAATGACCCTGCTGTTACGACACTGAACTAGTTCATAACCAAACAAGCGTGGTTTTAACATCTTCAAGGTCCATACGAGAAATGTAGTTAAAGTATATGCAATTTCTGTTTTTCTTTAAATATAACAGGTAAAGGGGGACAATGAACCTGGGGTCGGATACTCGAAAGTATTTACAATATTATATCGCCCAGTTAACTCTATTAGTCGCTCCTCGAGGGTGTCCGCCCTCTCTGTAGCTCTCCCAGCGATGACTCCCATACTGGCTTCCAATTAAAGCTGGGTACAGTTCAGAGTCTGTCTAATGACCTTTAAGACGCTAATATTTGGTGAGCCTGAGGATTTGGCCAACCTACTAATTCCACTGACTACATATTCTGAAATGATTTTGAATAGTAGTGATGATCCTTCACGCCTTGGGGAGCGTTGAACAGTTCAGGGGAATGTTTCCTTTACTGCCCCCGATCCGTTTCCTCTACGGCACCCAGATAATTGAAAGCGTTCAACATATACTCACATAGTCTTGAATACTTCAGTTATCTGCTGGCGTATACATCTTGATGGAACGTAAACAGGTTTTTGAATAATTCAGTGTTGTTCTCTTAACATTCAATAACTTAAGTCTAACACGAACTATGACGTCATCTTCGTTTTCTCTGATTTGTCTTGGAGGGACGTGCTCTCGGATGACTCACTAAAACAGGCTGTTTTGTGGACAAAGGAACGTAATATGAATGAGTGTGGGTGTTAATAGAATATAGGTATTACTGTGACCATGCCACTGATAGGATAGTGTTGTTATTGTCTGTGCAGCCGCCCCCAGGAGTTGTTAACTGTGTTGGGATTGGTCGCCAGACCGTGAGGTAGTCTATGTCGTCCACTGTGATGTCATTGATTCGTATTTCGTGGCCAAGATGTTGTGGGGTACGAGTTGTTTTGTTCCCTCTCAGGATATGGAGAAAGGAAACTCACAATGTGCTCTCTGTATACATGTTGTATTGGATGTACAATGCAGCTTGGTGCTGGGAAGTGGCAGCGTGGTTACAAGCGTGATGTAGAGAGAGCTGGTTGGTGAGGATGCTCAGAGGAGGACAGCGGGAGCGAGGGCCGCCAGGCAGCGGCGGAGGAGGTGGTGGAGCTGGCTGCGGCTGTAGCTAGAAGAGGTCAGGTCTTAAATAGCGGAGGCTTAGTAGTTGACCTCCGTCATGTAAGGCGGCGCTGGTTGACCTAGACCACGAGGCATACAGTACACTGGGGAATTCGCGGGGTCGGCTACTCAGCGACAAACAGCGTTTGTAGGGGAGAAATCCACTACAATGTGACCACCATGACATGAAACTTTCTTTTTGAGTATGCGGTTCAGGTACATTCAGGAGCCAGTGCATGCCCAGTACTTGCCAACAGTGTGTAACATAGACGTGACCGATCGCCCAAGCGGTTAACGAACCGATTAATGATGAGAAGGATAAAAGAAAAAAAAGTAAAAAGCTAAAAGTACGTTTCAATTTATAGCTCGGTATGTACGTCACTCTGAGTTACCAAATAGCCATAATGCAAGGTCTTTTTTAAGGTACATTTTGTTCACTTCATTTATTTGCTTTTCAATAGACAAGAAACTGTCTTATATAAAATTATTCATTTATACTTTTAAGTGGAAGAGTGTCGAGGAACGGAAAAATGATAAATATTAGAATAGTTGGAAGCGGATTAGTAAGTTTGGTGGCCGACAGATGGGAGCAGCGGCGTCCAGCGTCCTCCATTACCTTGTGAAGTGAGTGTTGTTACCTGTCATTCAGTGGTGGGCAGCCGGGGGTGGCAGGTGTGCGGCTTGTTTTCTTGTTCTGTGATAACTGTATTACCCAAGTAAACCATCATGGATACTGGGGTACGAAATAGGAAGAACAAATCTTCACCCAAAGCAGATAAAAATGGGAAAAACAAGATACAAGAAATAACAGCATCTGTGATTAACAATCAAGATAGTCTTAAGGAAAGCATTGAAAAGCTGAAGCACCTGACTGAACCCATTAACAGGGATTCGGTAAGTACTGTTAGTGTGTATATCTTCGTGTGTGTTACCAGGTTCCTCCTAAACACCTGCGCAGGGAGGAGATGGACCAGGTTTTCACCGTAACCTACATAACACACGGGTCGAGCCGGCGGTAGGCTGCCCGAACCGGACCTCTTTAAAACGAACCGGAGTGTTCAGGTGTTTTAAATCTGCATTAATTATATTGGTCTTATGTTAGAAGAAAATGTATCGTTATAATATTTCCCTGATATTTTAATTTCAAACTCGTGTCATGTAGAACTTGGTATCCGTGTGGTGTAGAGGTGTTGGCAGGAGTGGGGGCGGGGTATTGGTAGTTTTAACAGGAACTGCTAACAACCGCCCAAACTACTATTTAAATAATATTAAAATAAGATATTTCAAGTAGCGCTGTATATGGGGAAATGTGATTATGCTTACCTGGATTCCTTAAACTATTTCTGATGGCAAAATGGTTAATACGCATTGTCACTTAATAGAAGAAAAACAACGAACAAATAGATTTATTGTGAGTTGGGTTAAACTTGTGTGTACCAGTGTGTCGTGGACCGTGTAGGCTACGTGTTGAACCACTGTAAACATGTATGGTGATTTTACTTCATAAATGTCTGGCTTGTGGACCTATTAAGCCTTGAGGCAGGTGTGTGTGTGGTTGTGGTCAGGTGGGCCAGTGATGGTTGTATGTTGTGTGGATTGTTATTACCAGAGTTGTTTGGAGACCACACCTGGATTACGCAGTTCAGTTCTGGTCACCGTATTACAGAATGGATATAGAATCATTGGAAAGAATTCAGAGGAGAATGACAAGACTAATCCCGGGCATTAGGAACCTTGAGTATAGAGACAGGTTAAAGCATCTTAATTTGCACTCCCTCGAGAGACGTAGAGCGAGGGGCGACCTGATTGAGGTGTATAAATGGAAGTCAGGGTTAAACAAAGGGGACATTACAAAGGTACTCAAACTATCCAACCAGGAGCGAACTCGTAACAATGGTTTTAAGTTCGACAAATTTAGATTTAGGCGTGAAATAGGTAAACACTGGTTTGGAAACAGAGTAGTGGATGAATGGAACAAGTTACCAAATATCATCATTAACTCGAATACGCTGAATAGCTTCAAACATAGGTTGGATGCTCATATGAGCAATAGGGGTTGGGTGTAAACGGGACTGCCCAGTATGGGCCAATAGGCCCGCTGCAGTTTCCTCCATTCTTATGTTCTATGAGTAGACCAGCCCTTTACTTGGCCTATATTACGGGTAAATGTGAAGTTTAGGGCTAACACCAGAAGCAGTTTGTTGATTTTCTTTATATTTGGTATATTTATTGTTTTGGTGATTTTAAGTGTATTAAAAGGAACGACTTTCTAGTATAATTTTAAGTATTTTTTTTAATTACGCTTATCCCGCTTCACAATTTTCCTCCCGGCGCCATTGTTGTTGTTTACCTCGCTGAATCCCTCTTCAAGAGACGTTTCCTATAAATGATGGTGAACGCTTCCACGAATTCCTCCTCGCCGTTGCTGATGTACTGTATATCAACCTCAATATTAAGGTAAGTTGTTTAACTCATAAATTAACACGATAATGCGTAGAACCTACTGTAATAGAACCTGACCTGACATACCCAACGTATGGATATGTTAGGTCAGGTTCTATTACGTTATATGTATTGTAGTTTCCATTTGTTTATTAGCGTGTAGAAAAATGTCAACGATTTCTACAAACTACTGGTGTTCTCTCTAAACTACACCTTTACTGGCTGTAGGCAACGGGACACTTCATTAAAACGTCCCACCCTGGAAAGTTGTCTTACCAAGTTCTTTGGCTTAATATGATCTGCTGAACTTGTTTTTAAACTGCTTAACGGGCTTTACTCCTGGCTTTAGTGCCCAATAGCGTCTATCTTTATCTTGGGTAAGTAATACAATCTAGGGCTGACGTGGCAGAATATATTTGGGTGTTTTAGTTTCGGTGATCCGGAGAGTCGGGTAGGTTACAATAAGTTTGGTTAGGTTAGTTTGGATATTTAATTGTCGGGATGACCGGAACTAACATTTTTACCTGTGTTATTAATTGTGGTATTTCACAGCCTTTCCCAGCTTCCCGAGCCCAGGCTAATAGCTTCATGTCAACTGATTCGTGTATTTGACCCCACCCATCTACCTACCTCATCATTTTGTTGTAGCAGAGGCAGATGCTGAAACTTTTTTCATGTAAATACTACTTTTAGATTAATTCCCTGTATCGACTAGCGAGGTTAAGAAGCAAGAACTTGAACCCCCCTCCACCTTCCCCTCGTAAGTGAGGAGAGGACTCGGGAACTTATAACAAATCTATTGTGAAGTTAGTATGATACTATTAAATGAAGGTTCCTCACTCCATCATGACCACGTACGCACATCTTCAGACAACTTTTGTGGAGAAATAATGCTGAGTAGCCTGGTTTCCCTGCCTGACTGCCTACTGAGGAGTGTCGCCAGCCCCACGAGAAAGCCTTGCAACAGAGCTTTCACAACAGCTAGTCCTACATGTGGGATACCGGTAGTTGCAGCCGCCCATGACGAGTCCTTGAGCGCTATAATTTGAGAAATATTCTGACTTTGCAGTTTGTATCTCCTAAATCTCTGCTTGTGCATGGCAGTCGCTGCTCACCATATAGCCGTGAAAAGTTACATAATACATAATTTTACAGAGTATGATTTTGAAAGTGAAACATGACAAATCTACTGTATTATGTGATGATTAAATAACGCTTCTTTTACCCACACGCTAGGCTGTTGGTAGGATTTGGTCCGGTGTGGGTGTGGGTTTTGGGACGGTTTAGGTGAGGTGAGGTAGGCTACGGGTACTGTAGGTGTGGCAATTTGGCCCGGGGCACCACCACGTCAGCTGAGTATGGTGGTGATTGCCTCGACCCTTCCTGCCACGTTATTTACCCATCTTCTTCCTGCCACGTTAGCCTCCCTTCTTTCCTCTGCCACGTTAGCTTCCCTTTCTTCCTCTGTCACGTTAGCTTCCCTTCCTCCTTCCCTGCCACGTTAGCTTCCCTTCCTCCTTCCCTGCCACGTTATTTACCCTCCCTTCTTCCCTACCACATTAGCCTCTCCCACTCTCCTCGCTCCCCCACACACTTCTGGCCAATGCTGCAGATATTGCGTGGCTGAAATAAACTAATGTACCTACACAAATAACCATTATCTAGTGTGTACATTCATCTACGAAGGCGAGTCAGCTGACCATTATATTACCTACCTCTCCATTCACCACCTATCTGGGGGTAAACATATCCTCAGTGGGGGAGATGTTGATGATCATTTTTTCTCGACTATTCTTCATAGGAGATAATTGAGTTCATGTGACCTTAAAGAGTAGAAGAGAATGGAGTGTTTTAGGAGTAGGTTGCATGATTTTCCGCCTAAGTGAAGGGGATGACCAAGACAGTATATACTAGACAGGAACACATAGTCGACGTGAGTTTTAACAGTAGTTCTAAACATTGTGGAATGAGTAATAAAGGAGAACCAGAGAGAGGGGGTGCACTGTACCAGTTGACCTATGAAGTTTTATCCGTTGACATCATTGTTCATTAGGTTGATGATTATTAACAAACATAAGAAAATAAGGAGTCTGCAATAGGCCGGTTGCCCTGTGCATGGCAGCTTCTGTCAAGAGTTACTACCACTCTATCATCCATGAATCTATCCAGTCTCCTTTTGAAACTTTCCAGAGTTCCAGCACTTACTACAAAGTTGCTAAGCTTGTTCCACTCGTCCACCACCCTATTTGTGAACCAGTTCCTTCCTATCTCCCTCCTAAACCTAAACTTATCCAACTTAAATCCGTTGCTCCGAGTCCTATCCTGCTCGGATATTATAAGAACTTTATCTCTATCCCCTTTATTAATTCCTTTCACCCACTTAAATACTTGTATCATATCTCCCCGCACTCTTCGTCTTTCTAGGGAATGCAAGTTTAGTTTCTTTAACCTATCCTGATATGGAAGGTTTCTAAGTCCCGGAATCATTTTCGTCATTCTTCGCTGCACCGACTCTAGTGAATTGATATCCATTCTATAATAGGGGCACCAGAACTGAACCGCATAATCGAGGTGCGGCCTGACTAGCGCTAGATATAGTTGCAATAAGACCTCTGCACTCTTATTACTTACCCTTCTAGATATAAAACCCAATACTTTTTTGCCTTATTTCGAACATTAACGCACTGTTTTCTAGGCCGTAGGTCCGGGCTTACAAGTACCCCTAGGTCTCTTTCACAAGTCGACTTCTCTAGGTTGATGTTGTTATGGCTGTATACATTGACAGTATTTGTTCTTCCAATATTAAGTACGCTGCACTTGCTGGTGTTGAATTTCATTTGCCATTTTTCAGACCACCCCTGCAGTTTATTTAGATCCTCCTGTAATGCATTTGCATTCTGCCCTGAATTAATCTGCCGCCCTATTTTGGTGTCATCCGCAAGCTTGCTTATGTCACTGCTGATCCCAGTATCTAGATCGTTTATGTAGATTATGAACAAGAGTGGGCCTAGTACTGACCCCTGGGGAACCCCATTGGTTACACGGCCCCACTCAGATTTAACACTATCTACGCTGACCCTCTGCGTTCTATCGGTGAGCCATGATTTTATCCAATTATTGGTGTCAGTGTCTTGGTGAGCGGTGGAGAGACTTCGAGTTCATCTGTATTCAAGAACTTAAGATGGGGACGGTGAGAGAGAGGGGGGTTATGACATATCCTGCTGTTGCAATAAGAACTATATAATGTTGATAGCTGTGTAGTAAGTTCATTGTTTTTTGTTTAATAGAAGATCCGGAAATAGCTTACAACTGACCTCTCCATGAAGCTGTTATATCTGGGATGAATTCATTGAGGTTTTCAGATTTTGGCCAATAGAATCCTTGATTGATTTATGATAAGTCGGGCGAAACTAATGTATTTGTTTGTTAGTAGAGGTTAATATATCGGTAAT